ATGTTCAAAAGACTTAATAAAGCACAAAACATTGTAAAAATGCGAAAAATAAATTTTTGAAAAATTTTGTGTAAAATATATTGAATGAAAACTTTGAAATTGTCGGCGGCGGTGGTGGCTCAGCGGCATAAGGTCCCGCTTTCCAGCAGGTAGGTCCCGAGTCGGAAATTTTTCTCAAATTCAAATTCAAATATAATTCAAATAAATGTCAAAAGAGGGCGGGCGCATAAGAGCGCGATCTTTAAAACATGTGCACATGTTCTAATAAGTATAAGAGAGAAAGCGCACAATTCTAACTAAAATAAGCACCAATAGATGGCGGGCGTATAAGAGCGCGAACTTTAAAACAAGTATCTACAAGAGTGAAAATAGTGTAAAAAGTGTATATAAAAAGTAAACAAAAGGTTAGTTAAAAGTAATATAAATAAAAGGTAAGTTTGCATTAAAAATTAAGAATTTTTGTTTATTAATTATTGTTATTATTACTAATAACACAAATGATTTACATCAGTGTATTAGTGAAATGTATATAAGTAAACAAAAGGTAAGTCATATAAAGTATAATTTAGTAAAAGTAGCATGAAATGTATACAGGGTGTTAAAAAAAGAAATAATTAAGGAGGTAGTAGTATGGACCAAAACAAACAAAAACCTTTCCTGCGCCATTGGTCTTCAATTAATTTTGATTAATAGTATTAGAATTATTCTAAAACCAATTATCACAAATTTTCTCGATAACTATTTATCGTAGAACACTGATATTTATTGTATATCTTAAAAAATTAAATTTTCTTTCCAACGGTACCAAATATAAGAGGTTATTACCAATAAGTCCGGAGTTATTGGCAATAGACCGCTCCGGGTGCCAAAAATCGACCAAAATTTCGACGAAAATCAAAAAAATTTTTAACTTTAAAATTCATCCATATAACGTTTTTTACATTTATAGAGGTCTTAAAGACTCAAAAAAATGCATAAAATGTTATTGGGTCAAGTTTAAAAAATTACGAATTTTTTGAGTTTTTCAAAAAATTAGTAGTAAAATCGTAAAAATAGTCAATTTAGTAAAAGTCGTAAAAAAAGGATCCAAAAGTGCATACAACGATATAGAAACGCAAAAAATAAAATTAGTGTTTGAATGATTACATCGGAACGAAGCAGAGATACTGGTCGGGGGCCTATTAGCGCCGCATTTTTTTCAATATTTATACAGCAAATTCAGTCAAATCTCAAATCCAATCACGAAAATCAAACTAAATCATCAAAATGTGTTATCTTGTGATCGACTCAATTTTGCTAGAATTTGAGTAATCCCATGCACCACAAATTTGAGCAAATCCTCCAGGATTGAGACGTCATGTCATGACCAATATTAATGTTTCCAACGTCGAACTCTACGCTCGATAACTGCTCCTCAGGATGGGACAATTTCACTCCTTCACCGCCAAGATTCCAAGAGATCAAGCTCATTAATCTCAGAGATATTGGGTGTTTGTGAAAAAATTACCGAATTGTTGCGATTCGACGTTTATTAATTTTGTGGTTGTGTGACTGCTGGCAAAGCAATTAAGCGAATGTTTATCTGGCGGTTATCGGCGGAATTAGTTTTGTAAAATATTTCCAATTCTATTATGACAACCGTCCAATTTAAACGGCGATTATTTATAGATAAATTTGATTGAAAAACAAATTTTTAAACCCAGGAAATTAATAAAAAAGTACTTTAACGTCACAAAAGTGACCACTTTTATGATTAAATGTGATCCAGTTAAAATTTTATCTTTATTTTTACCATGCAATTATTGACTTTCACCATTTGTTTCTTTCTCGTTTCTTTTGCTGCATTGTAGATCATCACCATTCGACATTTTATACTACTAACTGCACTAGTTTTGCACTGTTTTTAGTCAAACAATTTTTATTGAAAATTCTATTTTTAGCCTAGGAAATTCAATACAAAAAAAGCAATTTTTTGAAAAAAATTTACCATTTTCAGACTGAAAATAACCCTTTTTGTCACATTTATGTGTAAGAATCGGATCTAAATAGAAAATTTTACCGAAAATTAAATTTTTAAACCGGAAAAATAGCCATTTTTATAAAAAATTCTTGACTGTTTTACTCTAAAAAACACTTATTGTGTCATTTGTGTCAAAAATTAGATCTAAACGACGATTATTTAGACAATTTTTCAACTCAAAAAATTCAGAAAAAAATTGTTATTTGTTTTTTTTTTTCATTTTGACTCTTTTAGTCTGAAAAAAGCACTATTTGTGTCATTTGTGTGTAAAAACTTGATTTAAACGGCGATTATTTATTGACACTTTTGACTGAAAATCTAATTTTTTGGAAAACATTTGACTTTTTCAATATGAAAAAAACTTTTTTATGTCATTTATGTACGAAAATCGGTGCAAAATTCAACAATATCTACAGGAGCGTCAAATTTACAAAATCAAATTTTTTAACTAAGAAAATAAAAAAAGCAATTTTTTTGAAAAAAATCTTGACTGTTCAGCTTGAAAGAAACAGCTTTTGTGTCATTTTGTGTTAGTTTTTGTGTGTTTTAGCTTGTAAAAAACAGTTTTTGTATTGTTTTTGTTTAAAAATCGGTGCAAAACACAATACCACCAGATTATGCGTTCAATTTTAATTCAAAATCAAATTTTAAAACCAAGAAACCCAAAAAAGTCAACTATTTTTTTTTTAATTTTGATTGTCTTTCAGTCTGAAAAAGTGTTTTGTGACATTTACATGCAAAAATCGGATTTAAACATCAATTATTTATAGACAATTTTGACTGAAAATCAAATTTTTAAACCCAGAAAATTAGCAATTTTTTGA